CCACTCAAAAACCGGAAGAGGTGCTGTGGCTCAAGCAGTAGAGCACTGGCCTTGAGCTGAAGAGCTCAAGGACAGCGCCCAAGTCCAGAGTTCAAGCCCCACAACTGACCAAAAAAAAAAAAAAAAAAAAGAGGGGAGATTGGGGAGGGGGGAGAGAATCAATCTTGAGACCATCTAGAGGGAAAAAGGAAACAAGAGCAGAATTCCAAATAAACCAGAAAAGACAAGGCACAAAGTTTTAAAATGAGAACAAAATAACAGCTATTTTGTTACAGAGCTATTGTCATAAAACCCAACTGGCCCAAACAAACACATAATATCAGAAATCGTTTTTACAAAAAGGAAACTGCACCAAGAACTATATTGAACCATATGTGGTCACAACTTCCTCCCTGTGGTAAGGAAAAGGGTCTGGTGGTGATGTTTCAGTTTTTAAATTGTGTCTTATTTGTCTCCCTTAAAAAAAAGGGGGAGGGAAGCAAGGAGGGGAGGACAATTTCAGTTCTAAGCAATTTGGAAAACCACAGAACTCATCTACAAAAATATGAAAGCGTGACCTATAATAATATACCCATTTGGGAAACGGCAATCACACCATTTTAAACCTTTGGCATCTGGGTTATTCATGGAAGGCAGTACTGAGGGGTACAGAGGTCCTAAAAAGAGGCACGGCTACCTAGGCTGGCATGAAGAAGCTTCAGCCCACAGAGGGAGACTTGCTAAAGTCACAGGAGCTGGCACGGCCTGGCTGTGCCCTAGGATACCTGCTTCATTCAATGCCATCTTCTCCATTCCAGGCTGCACAGGGTAGCCTACTGCAGCCATTCCCCACATACAGCAAGCACCAGGCACACATGAGGGCGTTTTACAACACCCTACATCACCCACCTGAGGCTTCTCTGACCACCCCCAGGGTCTGAGTCAGCAGGGCTGGGGGAGATAGGGCATTGGCATTTCCAAGCAGATCCCAGGTCTTATGCAATTCCCCTGACAACTCAACTCCCAGACTAGATGCAGGACCTGGAACTGGGAGCAAGAGCTTTGGGATGACCATGAGGCTGGGCTCCAGGAATCTTCTGCCCCTTCCCACAGGACCCTTGAAAAAGTTCTCTAAACTCTTGGAACCTCAGTTTCCAATATCTGAGTCCAGTTTAGATAGATGGAGAAGTTCAGAGAAAAAGAAGGGCCCATAAAGCATCGCCTTTGCCAAGCACCTGATATATTCTGTTTTGTTTGTGTTGGTGCTAGGGATTGAACCCAGGGCCTTACATGTGCAAAGTACTGCTGGCTGGACATACTCTAAAGTAAAAACTTAATACCAGCTACATCCTATACTGAAGCTTCCTTAAGTACATTTTTCTCCCCTATAAACACTGGATTGGTTAAATTTCAAGGCAGACCAAAACCAAAGATTGGCAAGGATGTAAAACAAATGGAACACAGCTTTCTTCAGAATACTCAAGCATGAAAAACAGCCCAAATATCCACCAACACAAAGGAAAAACTGGTATATGTATACAATGGAATACAACATTGCAATAAAAAAAAAGAAGCAGCCAGTGATACATATAAATATATGAAATATTGTGTGTATTGGGGGGAGCCATGCACAAAATAAATACCACATTATTTCATTTTCATAACATTTGAGAACAGATAGGTGATAAACAGAAATAAATCGAAAAGCCTTTTCTTTTGAGAGGGGAGGGGGGAGTGGCAGGGGAGGCGGGGAAGTATTAATTGGAAAGAGACCTAAGGGAATGTTTGGAGTGATGGAAATATTCTCTATCCTGACTTGAATGGTAATAAAAGCACACAGTTTGTCAAAGTTCATCAAAGCAGAGCCTTTGTATCTGCTTTGGTACATGCACAGGTACCAAAACAGCACGATATTCCACAATGTATATAATTTTCATATTTTATGCATTTATCAAACTTAAATTTCCTTAAGTCCATTTCAAAGGATGTGTACATCTTGTTACAGATAAAGGATACCTTTATTTACATAAATTTATGTATACACACATAACATACATACACATGAGTGTATGTATGTATATATATATATATATATATGCTTTTTTAAGCATTTTGGACTAAAAATTGTCCTCTCCATTTAAAATAAAGCTCTAAAATAAATATTTATTTACATATCTATACATAGCACATATAACATATACACAGATGGAGATGTGTGTGTGTGTGTGTGTGTGTGTGTGTGTGTCTTTAAAGCATTTTGGACTAAAAACTGTCCTTTCCATTTAAAATAAACCAACTCCAGCCCAGCTAGTGCATTTGGTGAGATTTCTTCACAGTTCAGTCCAGTTTGGTATTATACCATTTGCTACAGACTATTTTGGTCCATGCCTCTCTCCAGAGAACTGCCATGACAGAAAAAAAACAGCATCTTCTCCCCCCACAAGAAGACAGTGACCTTTCCATGCAGACAGAACCCCGAATAACCCTGCATCCCTACAAGGGACAAACACAAAAGTTCTATTTTTCTTTAACACTTACTAAGTACCAGCCTACCTGAGAAGATTAAGACACAGTAACAAGTCCCAGTGAGACCGAATTCTGTCATCCAACTGGAATCCCATTCTCAATATGAAAGAAGAAACAAGAGGGGTGATATGGTTTCCAGAGCCATCCTCATTGTTAATGAAGACATCAGACATGCTAACTGTGCAATTATTATATGAAAGGCTTTTCACCTTGAAGGGGGATCCTAAGCCATTCAAGTTCCCCAATTAGTTTCTTTCTTTTTTTTTTTAATTACAAGTAGATTCACATCTTACACATTCACACACCCTGCTGTGGGCATTTCTATACACAGGAATCGTTCTGAGGGAAGGGAATTCATTTCTGCCAAACCCAACAGTGTCTGAGAGTTCTCTTGATTCATCCCACCAAACTTTCCTCTGCTGAAACTGAGGCCCCTGGGAACATGCCTCCAGGCTCTCCGATAATTGGTGGAAGGAAGATAGGGGCTCAGCTACAGGCAGCCTCTGGCACACAACAAACAAGCCCCAAGTCAGGACCCATTAGAACTACCAGACAACCTACAAGCCTGTCCTTCCTTTGCCCTTCTTCCAAAATGGCCCTGAACTGAGATTCACAGCTGTTCCCGCCAAATGCTTGACTAGGTATTTTCTCTGTAGCTCTTATCTTGTCATAATTATCAGGGTAACTAGCGGGAAATTTTTTCATCCAAGATCCTGGATCAATAACTGTTCGGATGCAACTGGAACACAATGGTAAGAGCTCGTTTTGCTGAGCACTGACTATATTTCAACACCATCTGCACACCTTTCCCCACACTGGCTTCCAGAACTCACACAAGGCAGCTTGCAAGGAAAGACAAATCACCCCGCAAGACCTACACCAAAGCCAGGAAACGTGTCACGAATGTGACACAATTGTGTCCTTCAATGAGCTCACCAGCACCAATATAGAAAGCAGGACTTTAAAGGAGCAGGGAGGAGGAAGTAGCAGTAAACCGGTCGGATGCCTGGGGACTTCCTGGAGGAGGTGTCCAACTGGAGATTTTTTTTAATGGACACAAAGCTTTCCATCCAAATGCGTTGGCCTATCAAGCTGGCAAAGCTACCGAAAGGCCAGGCCATCATCCTGCCCTGCTCTGGCTTCCATTTCATCTGGAAGACGCCTGCTTCGGAGGAGAAAGCTCAGCCTCGCCCTCCTTTCCTTTGACACGCTGCTCCAGCTGCTGCCTTCCGGATGGAAACATATGGCAACTTTTCAGCACATCCCATTTGGCCACCTCCTTGGGTGCTTTCATCGGACAAGCTGCGTCTCCGCGAGTGGACGCGGGAGGCGGCCCTGTGTGGAGGGGCGCAGACACGGGGACAGCCCCTGCCCTGTGCCAAACTGAGATCGATGGAAAGGGCCCAGCGCCAACCCCAGCCATCAAACGCATCCCTGATTCAGAAGCCAGGCCTCCTCCTCCTCCTCTTCCTCCTCTTCCCCTTCCCCCTCCTCCTCCACACACTCTCCAGGTTGGAATCTGCATCCCTTCCCTCCTCAAAAATCCAGCCCCCAATCTTCTGAGCCTCCCACCACAGAGGTTCCTTCCCTTTGGGATCCGTTGTGTGGCCCTGGGCAAGTCATTTACATCAACGGGGATCCCGGGGTCTGTATCTGTAATTCGGGATTGAATGAGAACTACTGGGTCAGGCCACCTAAGTGAAAAGAGTTTTCACCCAGAGGCTCGCGCGCGTAGTAGGCTCACAAGAAACAGTCGCTGCCCTAATTAATCACCACTAATGATCACAGGCACCCTCGTGGGGAGACACTTGGACTTGATCCCCGCCAGAAGCGGAACCCCCGCGCCTCCCCCCCCCCCCACCGCGTCTCCACCGGGAGTCGTGCGTCATCATCCAGCGGGAGGGGAGGGGGGAGCTCCTCCGTCGGCTGGGGAGGCTGGGAGGGGGGGGTGGAATCCGCCGGGGGTCGGTCTGGGCCCAGCCCACCTTGGAGGGGCTGCGGGGTGCGGGGTGGTGGGGGGGAGATAAAAGGAACATGGACCCTCTCCTTCTGCCCACCCACTCGCCAGGTCCACAAACTTAACAGCCCAAGAACGCGGCTAACTAACGCGCGCTGCACGGCTCTACCCCTCCCCTCCCCGCCCCATCCGCCGCCCCCCCAATCAAAGAACCCAGGAGGCGTCCACCAGCGCCCGTGCCTCAGTTTCCCCAACGCCCCCCCCCCGGGGAGAAGGGCGGGCAGGCAGGCGAGGCTGCGGCCCCGGACAGTCGGCGGCCAAGGACACCCCGCTTTCCCCGCGCCCACCCAGCTGTTGGCCCATGTCTCTCCAAGGCAGGTGGGCGAACGACTCGCAACTTCTGTGCCTTTCTTGCCTGAGTAGTTTGCTCCACGCCGGCAAGCGGGAAACCGAGATCGGGGTGGGGAGGGGGGGGTGTCCCCACGGACTGACGCCCCCCCCCCAGCCCTCCTCCATAGATACACCCCGGGCGTCTCACCTGGTCGGACGGCTTTGAAGGTGACGGCGTCCGGGCAGCTGTCGATGACTCCCTGCACGTCGTAGCGGGGCAAGCCGGACACCCGGATCCCCTGCACTTCCAGCAGCAGCTCCCCTTCGCCCAGCTTCGGGCCCTCGCCGCCGCCGGGAAGTCCCGGAGCCTGGGCCGCTCCGAGGTACGGAAACTCCCCGTTCTCCGCGCCCCCCAGCACCGTCACCCCCAGCTCGCCCTGCGGCCCCCGCCTCACGGTGCATTCGTGAACCCGGCCAGTCCAGTGGTTCTTCCTCTGCATCACTTTCGACATGATGAGCTACACCCCCCTCCCTCTTCCACCCAAAGTAAGGAGAATAAGGATAATAAAAGGCGAGACAGGTGTCCCCCCCCCTCCCACGGCACAAGCCCCCCGGTCCCGAGCTCGGCGGGGCTCATACGAGAAACATCTCCGCGCCGGGAGCGGAGCGGGAGGGCGAAGAAACTTGGCACACACCCGCGCACTCAAGCCATCATAAAACAAACTTTCCGGGCTCCCCCGCGAGCCCTGCCCGGGCGCCCGCCGGCTTTGTTTGCATTCCTGTGCCTCCGGGTCCACGCTCCGGCGCCCGCCCGTCCGCCCGTCCGTCCGTCCGTCCGCGCTCGCGGGACCAGAGTCCGCTCCGCGGCGCCCGCACGGCTGGCGGGTTCCTCCTCTGCTTCCTTTTCTTTCCAGATCCCTTTGCAAACGCGATGCCTCCTCCGAGCCTCCCGCCCGGCTCGCCTCCTCCTTTGCGGGCAAGCTGGTCCTCAAGCCTGAGCCAAAAAAAAAAAGCTCTTCCGTCCGTTGCCGGGAGCCCCGGAGACGCGGCTGCGGGGCGGGGAAGCGGGGGGGAGATGGAGGACCCCAGGGAAAGGCCCGCGGCCCCTTTAAGCAGATACAAAGGCTCCGCTTGTTTTGTTACAGTTCATTCTATAGCGCGCCGCGGAGCGCCGCGGCCGGCCCCCGTGGAGACGCGCGCGCATGCGCCTCGTGGCCGCCCGCCGGGCCGGCCCGCCCCGCCCCTCCTCCCCGCAGGCGAAGATTCCACCGCGCTTCCCGTCGGGTCCTAACGCCGACGCGGCCCGGGACGCCAACTTTATCCCCTTTCTTCCTGCGCGCCTTTCCTTCTTCCGAGTCTCTCGGTGCCCTCCATCTGCCAAGGGCTTTTCAGTTGGGGGAGCTGGGACCCCCTTCTTCCCGCGCGCGCGTTTTGCCCCCCTCCAGCTGTGCGTAACTCTTGGGGTTTGGGGGGTCTTTTTCTGGGGAGGCGGTGTTGGTGTTTCCAAGGCATTTCCAACAGGTGGGGGTGGGGAGGCTGCCACCCTCACCTTCGAGCGCGCACTCACGCACGCGCGCACACGCGCACACGCGCGTGCCCTCCCGCCGGCCCTCGGCCCCGGGCTGGCCACGCGGCCGGTCACCCGGTCCGGCGGGTCCCGCCGCCTCCCGCCACATGGCGTCGGTCCGGCGCTCCGGGGTTGGGATCCCGGGCCCGGGGCTCCCCCCCTCCCCGTCCCTCCCGGTGACCAGCGAGGGGGACAGGAAGGACCCCGCGGGTACCCCCTCGGATGGCCCGGGGCGCCTCCCCCGCGAGCGCGCGCACACCCGCGTCTTCACACTCGGGAGCAACTTTCTAGGACACGGGGGAAACTCGGACGGAGGTCCGCGTGGGTCTGTCATTGTCCCTCCGCGAAGAAGCCGCGGCTGCTCCCCAGCCCCACGCTCCGATCTCCCCCGCGGAGCTGGGGAGCCGGGTGGATAGGGATCACCGCCCCGGGTGGGACTGGCACCGAAGCCCGGGCGCCCGCGGGGCGGCCGCGGCGGAATCCCGCGCCCCCGCCAGCGCCGCCCAGAGGCGGGGTGCGGTGCGAGCCGGTGCCCGCGGAGATGCCCTCCAGCTCGGCCTGCGCCCCGGTCTAGCAGTTCCTTTTTCCTTCTCCGTGAGTCACACCTTCTCTGGGCCCAGAGATTCCAAGACACAAGGGAGGTGCCGAGAAGCGACTCATACAGAAGGGCGAGGATTGAGAACCGGGCTCTGCGGTCAGCCTCACTCGACCCTTTCTCTCCATGACCTTGAAACTCCATGACCTCTCCCAGCCTTCGCTGGGTGAAGGGTAAGGGAGTCTAACAAAGCGTCCGGAGTGTCACACGTGGAGAGATTAACTGTGAAGTGGCCTAGTCGTCATGTAGTAGGGAAGACTTCAGAAGCCCTTTAGAATTTCGTGTGGAATGATGACAATTCATTCAAGTAAGCTTTTTTAAGACTTGTTAATTGAGTGCTACTCTAAGCAAATAAACAAACAAATAGAAAGCCAGCACTGATGACTTACACCTCTAATCCTGGCTACACTGGAGGATGAGGTCTGAGGATTGCAGTTTGAAGCCAGACCATGGGGACAAATCAGAAACTCTTATTTCCAAATAAACAGCAAAAAGCCAGAAGTGGGTGATGTGGCTCAAGTGGTAGAATGGCAGCTGTGAAAGTGTAAAGCCCAGAGTTCAAGCCCCAGTAGTGGCACAAAAATGAATGAGAACAAATGTTTGAGGCCTCTGTCCTTGGATGTCAAGTATTGAAGATCCTGCCCAGGGTAGTAACAAAAACTTCCCCTTCAGGCCTTTTTTCTGAAGCACTTACTTTTCTCCACTCAGACTGAGGACCTATCCTTCCTTCCTTCCTTCCTTCCTTTCTTTTCTTTCTTTTTTCTTTCCTTCCTTCCTTCCTTTCTTCCTTCCTTCCTTCCTTCCTTCCTTCCTTTGTTTCTTTCTTTGTTTCTTTCTTATTTTTTTTTTGTCAGTCATGGGGCTCAAACTCTGGGCCTGGACACTGTCCCTGAGCTCTTCAGCTCAAGGTGAGCACTCCAGCACTTGAGCCACATCACCACTTCCAGTTTTCTGGTGGTTTATTGAAGATAAGAGTCTCACGGAGTTTCCTGCGCTGGCTGGCTTTGAACCGCAATCCTCAGATCTCAGCCTCCTGAGTAGCTAGGATTACAGGCGTGAGCCACCAGCCCCTGGCAAAAGGTAAACTCCAAAACTCTAACACAGATCCTGAAGTCAGAATCTCCAGGATGGAACCTATCATCTCAACTTCTAAAGTTCTCCGAAAACACTGCACCCGGAGAGTGAAGGAAATGACTATTTAGCATAAGCATATTTGGGTAACAGCTTTTGTTTTTGCCCTTGAATATGCCAACTACCTACCTCCTTTTAGTCCAAAGGAATACGGTGTTCCACTCTAGATCCGAGTTTCCTGTGACCAGAGCAGAGCAAAGATTACTTGAAAATGCCTCTACTGAGGTTGGAGATCTGCACAGCAGATGTGGTGAACATGCAACGGTTTTGTTGCATCAGCATTTAAACAGTTCAGTAAACCAGTGGACTTGAACAAGAATAAACTGTAATAATAAATGCTCAATGAATTCAGATCTGATTTTTATAGAAATATTATAAGCATTATGCCCACCTTTGGTCCTCAGCTCCACCCAAACCTGAGCTTCTCCCTGCCCTGGAGTTCCCCACACAGCCAGCCCCTCCCTCTCTCCACCCAGACCCTCCTCAACTCCCATCTACCTCACTTCCTATCCCCAGACCCTGCTGCTACCTAGATAGCAGAGGTTACCATGTGCTCTCTCTCCAGGGGAAATATGGCTCCTCTAATAAACCTTGTAGTAATCTTTCTCCTGTGCCTGCATGCCTCCTCGTAGTCCCCTGGGATGGATGTGACTAATCCTTTCAGATATTTTGACCAGAAGGAAGAAAAAAATTATGAATATAAAATGTGCATGGAAGTGATACTGTGGCTCAAGTGGTAGAGCGCTAGCCTTGAGCTAAAGAGCTTGGGATAGCGCCCAGGCCCAGAGTTCAAGCCCCACAACTGACAAGAATAAACAAAAAAAGAAAAAGAAATTAAAAAAAATAAATAAAATGTGCATTTCTTAGCCCAGTGCTGGTGGCTCACATCTGTAATCCTAGCTACTCAGGAGTCTGAGAGCTGAGGACTCAGGTTCAAAGCCAGCCCATGCAGAAAAGCCCATAATACATTTATCTCCAAATATATTTATCTCAAAGTGTGGTAGAGGGCTCAAAGTGGTAGAGGGCTAGCCTTAAGCAAAAAAGCTCAGAGACAACACCTAGGCCCTGAGCTCAAGCCCCACAACCAACAACCACAACAACAACAACAAAATGAATTCTTTACCTGACTTATGTAACTGCAACCCCTCTGTACATCACATTTATAATAACAGTTTCAAAATGTCAATGTACACAGATAGCTTATGCTTATAATCCTAGCTACTCAGAAGGCTTAGCTCTGAGGATCTCAGTGAAAAGCCAGCCTTAGCAGAAGAGTCTGTGAGACATGGTATCTTCAATATAGCAGCAAAAAGCAACAAGTGGAGATGTGGCTCAAGAGGAAGAGTGCCAGCTTTGATGCAAAAAGCTAATCAAGAGCAGGAGGCCCCAAGTTCAAGTTTCAGTATCTGCACAAATACACATCAACCAATAGCAGAGACTAGAGACATTGCTATTAGTTCTATTCTCTGCTATTAGTTTATATGAGTGCACAATGGTCATGAAGTGTCAATGGGCATGTGAGTTTACAATGGGTATATGATGTCACAATAGGTATGTGAAGTCACAATTGCAGTATGAGGTCACAATGGTTATGAGGTCACATGGGTCTCCAGAGTCAAGAGGTCACAAAGTGATTATAAGGTCACAATAGGTCTGTGATGTCACTATGGCTATATGAGAACACAGTGGTCATGAGGTCACAATGGGAATATGAGGTCATAACGGGTCTTGAGTTACAATGTTGCTATGAGAGCACAATGGTCATGAGTTTATAATGGAATGTGAGTTCGCAATGGGAATGTGAGCCGGAAGTGGTGCTGTGGCTCAAGCGGTAGAGTGCTAGCCTTGAGCTGAAGAGCTGAGGGACAGTGCCCAGGCCCAGAGTTCAGGCCCCACGACTGGACCAAAAAAAAAAAAAGAATGTGAGGTCATAATGGGCATATGACATCATAATAGGTCTGATATGTTACAGGCAAAGTAAGGCCACAATGAAGTTAAGTCAATGGATATTTGAGGCCAAAATGAGTCTATGATATCACAATGGCAATAGGACACAACAGTAATGAAGTCACAGTGGATATATGATGTCACAATGGGTATGTGATGTGACAATTGTTCTGTAATATCGTATTTCCATGATGAACATATGAGAGCACAATAGTCATGAGTTCACAATGGTAATGTGAGGTCACAGTGGATTTATGGCAATGGTTCTGTGATGCTACAGTGACAATGTGAAGTCTCAAGAGTCATGAGGTCACAAAGAGGATATAAGGTCACAGTGGATCTGTGATATCACGAGGGCAATATGTAAACATAATGGCCATGAGTTACAATGGGGTTGTGAGGACCAAGATGGGTTCATGATGTCACAATGGCTCTGTGATGTCACAATGGTGATATGAAGGCACATGAGGTCACAGTGGGCATCTGAGGTGCCATGCTCCTGCCTCCTGACTCCTCAGGGCACCAGGGCATCTCACCTGGGCTCTCCAGTGGAGTTGATGTGGT